TAAGGATTGAAATTAATGTACTTGCTTTGTTTGTTGTGAGTCTACACTTAACCTTTATATATATTGTTTATATAATTTTTTTTTTTTTGAATAATGGGAATTTTCTTCGGGGATGGAGAAGGGGGACTTGGAATTGAACCCAAGTTTAACTAGTTCTAAGCATGTCTTACCTTGCAAGGAGGCCAGTTGACTTTCAAGTGTTGGACAATTTTAATTAATTAATTATTTATTATAAATAATTAAAATTTATTTACATTTTATTTTATTTTCAAAAATTAATTATATTTTCATCTCACTGATAAAGTATCCAAATCTCATGCCATCCTCATCATTTGTAACCCAAAGAACAAAAGCAGCAACTGATTATTAGGTTCAATGGTTCAATGGTTTAATCCTAAGCCTTAAGTGCTTGGGTGAGATAATCAGAGTTTTGAGTTCTACCATTATCGTGAATTTCACCAAATGCGGTTTGATGGCTTCGTACCTTATTTAAAGGGGTGAAATATTTAACTATTTTAGGAATTGAATCTTCAGTTGCTAACAACTAATTCTAACTAACTTCTTAACTATTACTTTGTTAAAAAAAAAACAAAAGCAAAGAAGGAAAAGAATAATTTTCACTGTAAGTGATAAAGTGACAAATCCAAGATTATTATTGTTTAGAATAAAAGTACAAGGATAATTTTAAAAAAATTATTAATGTATCTTTCAGTTTAATATATTCATTCATATTTATTGGTTAAATTATTAAATTTTATAATTTTAAGTTTTTGTATATTTAATTTAAATTTAAAAATAATAATTTTTTAATAAATATATTATAAACTATATTAAATTAAAAAAATATACCGATCATCATCTATGATATTATCCTATCAAGAAAGGGTCGGCTTCTTCAGGTAGAAGGTTTTTGTCTTTTTTTGTTTTTTGTTTTTTTCTTTTTTTCTTTTTCCATAAAAGCTGTTTGACCGCTGATTCTAATTGCAAAGAAAAGTAGAAAGGTTCTTAATTGCCGTTCATTTATATTTATGAAAAAATATTAAATTAAACTCTATGTTCAAGGCGTGTATATATAGTATTTAGTTCTTATTGGGAAAATGTTAAACATCAATTTCGGTACTTTAACTTTAAAATTTTACATAATTTTTATTTTTCAATTTTTTTATACACATATTTACTTTTTCAATTATTAAAAATATGTTTTTTTAATCATTCCATCAATTAATCTATTAAATTTATTTAAATATTCACATTTGTTGTCCTTCAACTTTAGTCCCTCAACTAAGTTGAGAAATAAAAAATATACATATATTATAAATTAAGAGAATAAAAATATATATATTTAGATAGACTTAATTGATTAATTAATAGAAAGACTAAAAAAGTATATTTCTCATAATTGAAGAATAAAAAAAAATATACATAAAAAAATAAAGAAATGAAAATTATGTAAAACTTTAAAATTGAAGAATCAAAATTAACATCTAACTTTAGGGAAAAAATACTACATATTCAAGGCAACTAAATCAGTAAACCTGAAAGAGAAATAAATTGAAAATCCTCTTTAATCACGTGCCTAAATTATCTTTAACAGGAAAAAAAACCCCATCCATTAGAATTTTGGGGTTTTTTGTTTCCCAGTTAGAGTATTGTATGTTAATTTTTATGTATTTTAAAATTTATTTTTTATTAAATGATATTAGGATATATTTGGTTTGAGAGAAGAGAAGGGGTGAGCAAACAATTCATTTATTTGCCTACTAAAAACTAAATAGAATGAAAGTTTTTTATTTTATTTTATTTTTTTGCTTTTAATCTCTTTACTTATTTATAGGGAGAGGAGGGGAAATGCAACATCCTTTTATTTCTCTTACTCTCCTTCCATTTCGTCTGTTTTTTCAAATTAAATTAAATATATCCTTAAAATCACACCTCGTAAATCGATCTCATATATTTAAAAAAATTAATTTTCAAA